ACAGAACAAAAAAGGAAGAAGAAAAGAATAACAATAAAAGGATGTATAAATATTTGATTCAGGTTATTGAGGAAGTGACCGAAATCATTCATTGGACAAATAACTGAATTTGATACGCTACGAAGGAAACTCGTTATAACTATACGGTGGTGGTTGTTTGGCCTCTCAATGCCTAAACTCTATTAATAATGCCAACTGATCATTTCATAAACGGTTAAAAGGAATCCAAAAATAAAAGTGCACTTCTCATAATTTATTAATTACAATAGTACTCAACTCATTCCCATTAATAACCTCCAAGTTATGATGTATGTATTGTCTTTGTCATCCACATTTTTAGTTTTCTTTGATGGTATCACATATTCATGTAATTTGCAGACTAAAGTTTGGTTATCCATTTAGCAGATCATTTGCTACGCTGTATCCAGGAATGCCTTAGAGCTATGTTAAAGAACATGGACCGCAATAATATATGCGTGGGAATGATTTATCACTCAACACTTGGGATTAGGGGCACGCAAGGAAGTAAGGGTGTGCTGGATACAGCATCAAATGTACAAAAATTAAATGAAAAGGCATTGAACCAAAATAAGTATATCCAAATTCTATGAACACCTAGTATTTTATTGCATAAGCATATCTCAGACAAAAGAAGAATATTCTAATACTTAACGCAATTATCTATGTATATATAGGGTATGTAAGTTTGTTTTTACGTACACAACTGAAACCAAAAACCCAAGCAATCTATGCTTCTTAGCAACACACCTACGTGAATTGATTCAGGTACATATCAATAGCCACATCCAGAGGGAATCTCATAACTATACTACGCTAAGCCAAGGTGCATCAGACTTGAACAAACTTCTCAAGCTTCTTCCATAGATTCAATGCGAGACTCAAACACACTTTTCAAACTTATCTAGCCAAATCAGTTGAAACTACTGGTAGTTTTATCTATGAAAAACTTTTCAATGTGAATGCTTACAACTTAAACAAATCATCCATAAACAATTTAAGATTATTTCATGAAGTTAATGTGGTAAACTTGCTTATCTCAATTCCGGATAAATTGCTCCAAATTTTGAGCTTAGCATAATCTCCCTTTGTTCTTTTACAGGTGATTTTAAATAAGTTTAAATTTAGTTATTACACACTTTTACAAGGCAATAGTAATAAATCAATCTAATTGCTAACAGATATAATATGATAGCAAAAAGTGAGCTACGAATACCTGGAGACGATGACGAGTCTTCTTCATTATTAGGTGGTTCGGTCTGTGGAGGCGAAGGTGGACCGGCACTGGTAGCCCGGCAGCGACCGAATGACGTATTAGGATAAGAATACGAGTAGGTAGTTGAGCTCTGTAGATTTAGCACAAAAGAAGAGAATCGAAGGTTAGGGGAGGAGGAGGAGGTGGCGGTGGAGGGCGAACAACGGCGTGGCGGCGTTACGGAATTAGCGGCGGAGGTGGAAAAATTTAGCGGTGAACGGTGAATGTTACTGAGAGAGAGCCACGATTTCATTTTAGTGATTTTGTTACAGGAATTTTGAAAAGGAAAAATCATTTGCAATCAAAAGTAGCACAATCGGACTAATTTATGACACGTCTGCTTAATTTTTGCCGACTGTGACTAATTTCCCTATTTCATTTATTTCTTTTGTTTGTTTCTCTTTTTCTCTATGTTCGTTTTTAATTAAATATTTTTTATTATATATTGGAATTTCTCGAAATCTCTTGAATTTGACATTATTTACTACTAGGTGCATATTTGAATTAGTATTATTTTTAGTTCTAATTACTCGAAAAACGCTTGGTAGTTTGATAGATTTAATCGCCCGTATATATTAGGTTATCTATTTCAATATATATTTCTTTTTGATGAAAAATATATAAATTTGATCAAAAGATAAAAAGAAAATACATATAGTAATTGTACATCTCTCTTTTGGGTATAAAGACTGTTTTAGTTGACAATGTCTAATTATTATTTTTAGCCAAATTTAATACTTAAAACACTTGACTAGCTTTATTATTTTCCAATTATCATGCTGTAGTTGTATTAAAATGTGAATAATATTCCAGAAAAAAGACAAACAATGTTTAAATATGAAAATTATTTCGCCTCGGAAGGATGATGACCCATAAATCTTAATATGAATTTGGAGGGGCAATTCAATAACTGTATTGGGGTGAAGTGTTAACAGTATTTTTGTTGATTTCACATCTAAACCGTGAGAAACATATAATATAGTTTAGGTATAGTGTAGTACTAATCACATTGTTAGTTTTGTAAACCAGATAAGAGTCATAAGTCACACTAGGTAAGTCTAGGTCGATGAGCTAGATTTAGAAGACAAATCTCTTACTTTCGCTGGTTAGAGATTTCGAACTTGAGACCTCCAACATTAAAGTTTCAAACCATTAACTCCGGCGAAAACTTAATATATATATATATACAGAAAATACCAAAATTTTTATATAAAATATACTTCAGCACCCATTAAACAAAGTGTTTTATGGTCGGTGTGGTTCTGAAATCATATTTTGGGAGCGCTGATGCATTTCATCAAGGGTTGGACAGCATTCATTTATATTTTTGTTGAAAAAAGGCCAACAGAAACTTCTTGATTTCTTTTTCAAAATTTTGCTTATATTTCTTTTATTTTCCACTTCTCTATTTTTCCATTTCATTTATTAATTAAATTATAAAAATATTAATAGTAAACTTGTAATATTGAACACCCACGATCATCGAATCCTGAATTTGCTACTACCCCGAAGGTATCATAATTGTTATTTATCATTGCAAAGAGAAAAGAGTATTGAACGTATTGGCACGTCAAATATATAACTTCCTTCATATATATATATATAAAAAAAAAATTAATTAAGGAGAAATTTTATGAGTACTAATATATATATATCAAGGTTGAAAGAGGTGATCTCTACATGTGCATTTCCATGAAAGAAGATAGTAATAGTTATCATCAGCTTCTCTTTTAGATGCATCACTATTCTTTTGAATCACTAGACTTGCCTTGCATGAATCACAGTTCATGCACTTGTTTACACACGTCGGTGGCCTCGAACCTATCATCTGCCTACCTATATTCACTGTACAAATACAAGTTCAAATAAAATATTTTATGAGTAAAAAATTTATTTTTAATAGACTCTAAATTCGAGAAAAATAAAAACATAAGAGGTAACAAGTAGTAATAGAGAAATACGTTAATAATGATAAAAAATACTATACTTCTACTAAGAAGAGCAAGACGCGAAACTATGAACTTATATTTTTTCCCTATACGTATAAAAGAAACAAGTTTTACTCATGATTGAATAGTTGAATACTATAAATTAAATTAAATGGTAAATTCTCATCATCTCTTGAGAACTTATATTTTTTTCGTATAGAATAAAAAAAATTAAACAAAGTAGTTCACCTGATTGAGAAGGATGAAATAGAAGAGACACTAAAAGAGCCAATGTAAGTCCAAGTGAGCAGTTAGAGCTTGATAGAGCCATAGGTATATGAATGAACTTTATAATAATAGTAGCAAAAAATGAAATTAAATTTGTTTCTTTCTTTATTAGGTGAAAGAAAATTGCAATAGAAGGGATTATGAGAGGGTGGTATTTATGGTGAGACAAGATGGAGAACTGTTTCCATAAGAAGAGACAATACTCTGATGCACCAGTCACTTCACTTTTCACTTTGAAATTATAGAGTATACTCCTACTCCTAATTTTCAGCATCTTTCTTGGGAATGGTTTGTTACGCATTCTCAAAAATTAACTTAATATAAAATAGAAAAAATATATATAATATATAGTATTCTTTGTATGTTGGTGGTGGTTCAAACTGAAACAAATAGTAATTAATTACTGATCTTTTAATTTTCTAAATACAATTTCTATTTATTTTACTTGTCAAGTATCTTAAATTACAATAAATAATAATTTTATGTGTTCGAATAATAACAAAGTTTCAAATCAACATTTAATGAAATGACTGGTGTCCTTATGAAACTTGAGAGATAATTTTTAAAATTGAATTAGGTTCATATTTCATATTTTTACGTAATATCCTAGCAACACTAGTTTCACCAAATATTAGACAATCCTCTTCTTTATGAACTCTTTACCGAAAGTAGTATGATTGCGTTCTTTCATACCTCGTAACTTAATCCCTTGTCGATTCAATGGGGGTAGATTTACAACTTCCTAGATTTTAAAATGCCTTTGGATCAACCAATCTTTGACTATAGACTGTTTAATTGGTTAGTTAATTAATCTTTGAACTCATGGACCTATCCTATTGTGTTCAGATACTTATTAGTAATAAATATAGTAAAATTAACTTCATTGTTGACTTCCATTTCGTGTACATTTACCTCCTAATACAGTCCAATCCCAAAATGAAGAAATATAAATGTGAAAAGCTTGCAAGGTTCGATGACCTTTACTTTTAGTTAGGCGTTGGCCATAGAATCTCAAATTCCAATTTAAAGTTTTGATCTTAGATTAATGTCTTGTTCTAATTCTATAAAGAAAAATAGGATTTCAAAAAAACAAATAGTATAGATACTTAACACAGAAGTTCATATATTTGCAACCAAAAAAAAATACATGATTTTTTTTTATAGTTTTCACAACTTATTTAGGTTTCATGTTTACCAGGAAAATTACAATTTTTTACTACTCAAATTACATATTCAAATAAAACTATAAATTTCAATCAACCTAATTATAAATCAGTGATTATTGGAAATCTTGTCTAGATGTGCCCTTGGTACCGTTTCAAATAGCAACTATTTCACATACAAGACTATACAAGCAGGCTTAAAGGACAATTATTAACTGTATTAGCTTATTCTGGAAAAGGTTGTCATTTCACACCATGAAAGATTCCAAAAGGACATATATGTTGATTTTGTTGTACACTGTCAAGTTTTCACTCAGAAAAACTCTACTATCAAACATATTTAAAACATAATCTCAACTTGCAAGTATTTTCTTTAAAACATCAATTAATTCATGTCTTAACATGCCTTTATCAGTACAAAATATTTGAATTTGCCAGAAGTTAATTATATTTCATTACAAAAACTCCATCAGTAACCTCCTAATCAAATTTACATCAGCCTATCTAAGTGTCTGTCACTACTTGACTGTTCGTCATTCATCAATAAAATAATCCCTTGCTTACAAATATGTCAATCGTACAGTCCTTCCAGCTCCCAAAAATCCATTAGGAAATCTACCATTTCCTGCCAGTTTTACATGAGCATTCATAGTGTCATTCAAACAGAAGTATGAGGAGCATTGACTTCTTAAAACTCAATCATGCATACTTACAGCAAGCGGGATAGACATGGGCAACAGCTTGTTGCTCCCAAACAAACTATCATATGTAGCATTCCAACTGCAAAGACAAAATTCCTTAGAGGAAGTACAAACAGAAAGGATACATCAACAATCTTAGGCACATAACAGAACATCTAACTAAAACTCGGTTCTCAAAAATCTGTTTTGGTGGGAGCACATGACACTAGGATTAAGAATAATTGGAAAACTCATACTTATGCAAATCTCTCTCTTGCAAATCTCTCTCTTCTGGGGGATAAGGTGAGATATGTCTAATTCGAATCTCAGTGGCAATTTTCTTTCAAACGAATGTTTGTTAGGGACGGACAGTGGAAATGGATAGCAGTATTGGTGCAAAAATTTGTGGTCATTAATAGAACAAGGCCCCTAATTATGTTACAGACCAGAAGACTCTCCCCCACTTCAATATCAGCTATTTCTCCCCTTTGGATTCTTCATTCCAATTATATACATGTTATCTCTCCCCTCTTCAGCCATAAAGCATTTAGTTCTAGCCAAGCAAACACTAAGAACACAAAGATTGATGAAAGGCTCATTCACTCTTTGTTTTACCCTTCCTCAGGAGATCCCCTTTTTCGCTCCCTTGGTGACTCGACTCCACAACCAAGGTTGGAGGTAGAGGGAGCTTACCACTCAATTTCGTCGAGGCTCATTCACTCTTGTTTATCAAAATATAGAAATATTGGGAACAAAAATGAAAGTTTCCTACACACACTAAGGTTAATATTTTCCCTAGAAAATTAAGGTATATATCTCAATTGGAAATAAACCAGGAACATAATACAGAAGTAACACTCGGTGTTTGTTAATGACAACAATTTTTTACTGACTGACGTAAAAATGAGATTGAACTCAAAAATAAAATGGGAATGACATCCTATTAATCAAGCTAGAAGATTAGTGTGTGTAATAAAACCTAAAACACAGTTGTCATCAGAAAGATCATGACAAAAACACAAAATTACTTATCCACTTCCTAAATCCAGTTAAAAGAGTATCTAAATGCACAAGCAAAACCACCTATACATTCCACATTTCCTTATTTTTCTTTCAGTATGAACATCCTTGAAAAGCTTTATACTTTCAAGCTAAAATTTGGTCAGTCTACATGGAAATATTTCAGCTAAAAGGTCATATGCGCTTTAGATGTGAGTCCTTTGGAATGTAGCATATTACATGCCCACATGGGATTTTGACAAGTTCTAAGAATATTCTTTACACAGTTTCTGCAGAAAAAACAAAGATATCAAGCTGAAGATAGATTAATTAAAGAAAATAAATGTTACTCCTCCATGTACCACTTGCAAAGTTGAAATCAATTTTATACACACAAGTTGGTTGGCCTGTTGCTAAGTTTTCATTTCTTTGAAGAGAAAGAGAACATTTAACAACATGCTCTACAACTAGTGATTCAGAGTTAGTCTATGCCTTCAAAAGGATAACGTTAAAGGCTGGATATGGCTATCACAAAATGTGAAGCGTTATTTACTATCTGGATCAATAAGGTCGTGAAATCTTTGAATCCTTCCTGAATGGGCAACTTATATATTTCTCTTTTTCTTTTTTACCCCTCCCTAGAAGCTCCCACCTTTTTTGATCCCTCTTTAGAGGAGGGTGCTTACACTCGAGCAACCCTATCTTGTCATGGGCAACTTATTTGACAAGACCTATTTAGACCCTAAGAAAAGAGATTTAAGTATAGCAAATAATAAACAAAAAACTGCTCTATGCGCTGTCATGCCCGCAGTTTAGAACACCAAATGCTGAAAATCAGAAACTTCAGTACTTAACACCACTGAATCACCGATACCCTAAACTTAAACCTAATCCAAAGAATTTTCAGATTCTAACCTTTGCATGCAGGCCTATCACCTATATGTTATGCCTCTATATCTTCTTCTTTTTGGGCCTATAGGTATATGTTATGCCTCTATATCAAAGAGAACGAAAGAATCACAAGAATATAATGCCTCATTTGTTCAGTAAGAAGCAAAAGAACTGCTATTCAATGTTATTTTGAGCCATACTTTTAAGGTAGTGCAGGGTTCTAAGACAAACATCTCACTTTAATTTAGGTTCACGAAGCTGTTGGGGTTGGTTGACAAGCTTCTTGTGTCCTATCCACTGCTTTCTGCTTTGGTTCCAGAGGTGTAGTCCTGGCAAAAAATTCATATATAAAATAATTGTTTGTTAGACCTTTAAAATATGAAGATAGGAAACAATTATGTTAAGCCAAATGCCTAAACAGTGTATTGAGCCTAAATAGAATTTATTAGAGATGGGACTATTATCTTTTATCACTCTCAAAGGTGTGACAGAATTTAATCTGGAACATCAACATTAATATGGTTCGGATATTTGAAAATGTAAGTAGTACTTATTCTTATTCATATCATATGTTTCTTGAAAATATCAGGAAAAATACCATCACCAGCCCCAACCACTCTAAAAAAATGACGAGAAGAACAAATTTATCAGTAAAACCTTATTATTGCTATAACCATCTAAGATCAAATATCACAAACTTCAATTACTTACATATATGCATTTAACATTTGTATAAACTAGCAAGTATATTTTCCACAAAACACCAAGGTAAGTCTTAAGACAAGAAAAAACATGGATGCACAATGGAGAATCAAATTTACCATGATTCACAAATTCAGCAGGGTTGTTTGGATTTGCAGTCACATGACCATCATGTGTCAGTGTAGATGTACTAACTGATGAGTTGATTACTTGAGGCTTACCTACACTTTTGTCCATGCCACACATGCTGGCTGTCCGAAACTCCTTCAATAGATTAGCTTTATGAATCACCTGATATTGATGTTTCTGATCTTTCAGTGCTTCGTGAAGAGGAACTTAGTGTTGGTTTGTTATTGCAGCCTGAACAACTACTGCACTATTGCAAATGATATTTGTTTCTATAGAATCAACTAAACACGAAAATATAAAATAAATAGGGAAAAATTAAAATATTATCTTTAGTCAGACAAAGATAAAAACAAAGTAATGTTAGGTGAAAAACTAGCCCACCAAAGCAAGATTGCCTTTAATTTGGTAATTACATTAACAATTATCAACGATGTTAATGAAGTTCAACTTTCACTGTAATATTACTCGGTTACCTACCACACCTGGAAACCCTGCAGTGCAATCATTGACTGCTTCTAATCGAACTCAGACTTAACACGTGTATTAAATGCCCCAGGTACTTAGAGCATACAATAGAGGAATGTGGAACCAAGTGAAATACAAAGAGTGGTTCTCACCTTGCAGAACGTAATTGTCTGCCAACCTCCTTCTCCAGCAACTCTAACCTAATTTGTATCGATCATCAATCTCTCCAATAATTTTCCATGGCATTTCAGACGTTATACTCTGGTTAAAGATTTCTTCTCTTTCTTTCTTCAGCTTAGTCTCTTTGTTTCCATTCCTTTCTTCTATCAAACAGCTTTTTCAGTCCTTATCCACATATCTTCTTGCCTATTTTATTCTTTGCTTTTATTAGTTCTAAAACAATCATGGAGTAACTTACGCCTAGAGTAACAACAATAAGAAAGGTGATGAGAGAGGCAAGGTAGATAAGGCATCATGGTGAGAACTGCTGCTTTTTTTGGTGGTAGACAAATTCTTCAAAATCAAGTAAACTGCTGATAATTGGTATGAGCTCATACATAGGAAGAATAACTTAGTCCATAAATTGTGCTGACAGTTTCAGCATCATCGTTTTTTTGCAAATGCTTGAGACTTGCTTCAGAAGGTACTGGGAAAATCTGTAGGTGATAGAGGAACTTTGATCAGTTATACTCATACTGAGTCTTCCAAAATTTTAATGCTTATGGTAAATGTAGCAGTATTTTATAAGTGGGGATGATCCCCAAAATTGGGGAAGATGTTAGCTCGGATGTGATTGCTGATAAAATGATGACATTTGTTGGAGGAAGGAGTCTACTCCATTGGGGGTACCAACTCAGAATCAGAAGAAATGGAGTTACTTTGCAGGTATAAGTAATCAAGAGCCAGCTCTTAAGAGACCGGTAATAAATCATATGGAACTGGTCATAAAATATATTTTCATTTTTCAGAGAGATAGGTGATAGATTTGGTGGATTTGTATAACTTGATGAAGAGACCAGTAATAAATCACACGTTGTGATAGGCAAGAACGTGTGTTCTCTTCACCGCAGTTACAATTCCAAACACCAAGTGTCTAATTTGCAAAGTATCACTTTAAGTCCATAACTCGATTCTGTAAACCTAGAACTTGTACTGCAAAATTTGATATCCTCAATTGTTTCTACATCCATTGATGCTTTCTGCCTGAACTAAAATATGCCTCGAGACACATTGCATGCTTCAGTGCTCAACTTAGTTACAGAGAAAACCAGTAAGCATATATGGAACTTCACTTGGAAAATACATCAGAACTAGAGGTTTCATCTAAAGAGGAATACATTTCCAGTGACTAGAACCTCCCTATCAATCACAATGTTCAATTTTTCCATAGGAAACTAAAAGCATACATAAAGTGAAGTTTTTTTCTTGCTTCTAGAAATCCAGATACCAGATTTGTAAACAAACAAGTGATTTAGGTCATTCGTTCTAAGTATACAAGTTTTACCATAAATACCAAATACTTGATTCCTCCGAATAGCGTTCGCCTCAAATGCCTCTCAGTAATTCAATTGTAAGAAATCGGCACACATTGGGAAACCCTAATTGAGTGGAAAAAAGTAACTACAAAGCTAAAAGCTGAAGCAATGAAGACAAGATGGAGGAATTACCTGACATAGAAAGCCACAGCAATACGTCGATCACTTCGGCACTGCCTTTTGATCGAAACTTTTAGATGGACTTTCTCACGCTTCACCTGCCGGTTAATATTTTGTATTTGCTCTTTTCAACTTCGTTTTTGACTTTCTTTTCGCGCCGGCCTTGTTCAGTACTAATTCATTTTGCTTTTTCGGGTTCGCGCCTAGCTTCTTTTCTTTTGGCAAGATTAAAAAAATATTTTTCATCTATTTGATTATAAAAATCTTAAATTCATATTATATTTGGAATTTAAAATACAGATAAAGCTTTATTTCACTCGTATTTTTCGTAAAACTAGTCTTTGCTCATGTGTAACGCATGTGTACCCTATTAATTAATATTTCATTTTTTTTAAATGACACAAGTATAAAATATATAAATGAGGCATAAAGTAGATTTTTTAGAAAAATACTTGAAACAATGAAGGGTGACATGTATACTCCAAATTTTGTGAATTAATTAAAACGTCAAGTAATATTACCCTATTATCAAATATAGATATGAGAACCATATATTTATTCACTGGTCATTTGTATTACATACACTTGTATTATATATATGCATGACTTTTCAATTTTATTGGTACCATAAAAGTGAGATTCAACTATATTATTTTAATTGTTACCATAAAAGTGGCATTACTACAATGACTTTCTGAAAGTTAATGTCTCTATGATCCTATACTATATGTTGACATTAATAACTACATTTCTTAAAGGATGAAAATGTTTGTCAAAGAACC